GACTGGCACTGATAGGTGGCACTTATTGGCAGTACTGATAGGTGGCACTGACTGGCATTGATAGGTGGCACTAACTGGCACTGATGGGTGACACTGAAAGGCAGCTCAGATGGGCACTGATATGTGGCATTGATGTGCACTGGTAGGCACTGAAATGTGGCATTGATGTGGCAGTGATGGGCACTGGCAGGTGGCATGGATGAGCACTGATAGCTGGCACTGATGGACACTGACAGGTGGCACTGCTGGGGCTACACGGATCATCAGGGCACACTGATCATCAGTGCCCTTATGATCAGTGTACATGTCCCCTCTGAGGGATGCCAATTACCGTCTCTCCTCTCGAGCTGTCAGCGTGACAGCTCATGAGAAGAAAAATGCCGATAACTGGCATTTCCCTATTTACATGCGATCAGCTGTGATTGGACACAGCTGATCACATGACCGAACCAACATCTTTGGCTCTTTCTGTTGAACGGTGAGCCGCTGTTTCCAAGGAACACAGTGCACCGCCGGTCGCCACGCATGTTTGGTTAGAATGGGGAGGACGTCATATGATGTCCTCTCAGAACGAGAGAACCACCTTGTGCCCATCATTGTACTATATGGCGGGCGGGAGGCGGTTAAAGGATAAGTTCACCTTTTAATAAAAATAATAAATGCACATTTTTTTGCAGATAAAAAAATGTGCATTTATTATTTTTGGTTGCAGGAGCCTAGAAAGCATTGCATCAGCAATCAGCAGATCACTGGTGCCATGCATGTCTCCTGCAGGCCTGTCAGTATATCTGCTTGCCTATATGAGATATACGGGCAAGCAGATATACTGAGAGGAAGAGTCAATGAACTACCATGGTGCTCCACAGTGCTGTGGTAGTTCACTGAGAACCACAAGCTGACAAGAGCTAAGGCTGTTGGGACTTGTAGTGCATTCATTCACAGAACCCTGTAAATGGATGACGTGGCCATGTGGGCGGAGCATCGCATGGCCACGCTATTTTTAAAAAAGTGACAGGGGAACTTCTCCCCTTACTGCTGTCACAGGAGGGGGAAGAAGGCAGTGGCTGCAGCAGTGGGAACATATTACATGTTCCACCCTAAAAATGGGTGGAACATGTAACAAGTTCCCAAAGGTGAACTTACCTTTTACCCCCACACCCACCTTCCTTACTTCTCTTCTCTATCATACCCCTTGTGTTTTACAAGCACAACATCTCACATAAATGCTAACCATGCTTGAGTAAAACTATGAAGAAAGCAGAACCATATTATGAGTATTGAATGTGTCTTAGTTTCCTGTAAAGGTCATTTTATCATTTTCTGTTCTGTGTTGTACCATGGCATACTGTTTAAACGCTTGTGTGTTTGGATTATTTTTACAAAATTTATTTAAAAAATAATCGTTAAAAAATATATTTTTTAAACACTAATCCTGTTCAATCCTGTAAGCTTTACTTAACCCTAATCAGCCCTAATTAACTCCTTTAGGCTCTGTGCCCACTATAAAATAAAGAAAACACTAGATGAAAAATGCTGATAATTACCGTTTTGTGATGGCTTGTAGTAGTGTTTTAGTAGTGTTTAGAACCATATAGGAGCATTAGTGTTTTATTAGTGTTGTTACAGTACATTACAGTAACACCTCCCTCTGCTTTTGATTAACTCCTAAATCACCACAATGCTTTGCAGAACATATTATCAGGGGCCATTTTAGACAAAGAGAACAAAGAGGATTCTGACAGCAGAACAGGAGCTAGCCATGCCTTTCTGTTCTACCATTAACCTTAATTACAAAATTGAGGAATTACTCCTCCTGATTTTGTTACAAAGGCAGTTATGGTGGAGAAAATTAGAAAAGAAGACCTCAAGACGTCGATACTGGATGCATCTGTTGACATTGCACCATTTTTCATCTGGGTATTTTGCAACTATGTATGGAGAGCTGCGGCAAAACGTGGACAAATTTTATAATTTCTTCCGGATGTCCATCACTACATTTGATGACCTTCAGGAACAATGAACTACTGGACTGTGCGTTCACAGTTCCCTAATTTGTTAGGCACATATCCGTACACACACAAAACATGGCATTACAGAGGACTGAACTGTACCTAACAAAGTATTGAACTGTGCATTTCCCAGTTGAATAGTTTGTAAAGGCAAAGTTCTCCTCCGTATTAACGCACAAAGCTGTACTTTACAAAGAGCAGAACTAGGTCTTTGCAAACTACTGAATGATGTACTCACAGTTTCCTAGTTTGTTAGGCACAAATCTTTTAAGAAATGAAAAAGTTGGCAAACTATCTTAGGGGCATTTAGGAGTGCTCAGCTATTTTTTTCTGCTCCTAAACGCTGGAGTTTGAAAAAATGCTTCTAGCCTAATACAGTGTGCATGGACACATAGGATGACACTATTCGCTTCCAGGAGCAAAAATAAAAATGTTCAAAAAAGCTACTAGGACCTTAAAAACGCTAGTGTGCATGGAGCCTAAAAACCTAAAAAGTAAAACAAAATTGTATGTCTGCATATGTGTGTGGGTGTGCGTGCGTGCGTGCGTGCGTGCGTGTGTGTGTGTATATATATATAATTTTTTTTTTCTTTAACATCCATATTTAAACTTGTGTTCATTTTTGTTGTGCCCAATGTAATAAAAATAAAGAACCTTTTAAAAAATGCTATTATTTTATTTGTAATAACATCGCCATGCTTTGCACCAAACAAAATTAAGAAGTGTCTTCATAAATTGGACAAACAACATAATAGAAGTTACTCAGAGTGTTACAAAGCAAGTTTTTTTGTTACATCTGTATGTCTTTAGATAACCTGTTAAATAAAACAATTTTTAGAGAAAATATTGCTAAAAGAAAGCCTTGTCTGACGAAAAAGATATATGTATTATTTGAGTATCACAAATTATGACAAAATTATTGCCAAAAAATAAGTCACTAAAAGAAATTTAAAAAATGACTTTTTATTGAATATAATGGCTTATTTTTCTTACATATACACACAAACAAGACATTTCTGAGACAGGTAAAGCTAGGCAGGTATAAAACATCCTTACATTTTACAGTACTTTCATTAGAAAACTATAAAATGCATTTTAATACAGAGCAGGTATAAGCATCTGAGTCTGTATACTGTATATATCAGTCTACAATAACCCTGTGTAGAGCAGCACTTAGACTGGAAGAGGGAATATTAGCTCTTTGAGACAACCAGGACTATATTTATACAGTGTTGTCTTTGATCTTCTCTTCTGGAAGAGGGAGTAAAAGGACCTTTTCAAAGTGCTGCTGCTCTTTCCTTGTCCAGAGACAGATGGGAGTGAGACCTGGACACCGATGCAATGTGCAGAGATCCTGAAAGTAGCTATGCATGCTGCCAATGGTGCTTTGATCCAAAAACTAGCAGAACAAAAATCATTTGACAAATAAAAAACAGTTAACATTCTGTGTCAGAATCTTAACTTTCAATTTAGCTGTTCGTCTGGACTTCCACATTCATTTCCTGTCCAGTATTTTGTAGGGCAAAACTTTGAATCCAAAAGCAAATAGTAGATATAGGCATCTTTTCATTAGGTATGTAAATTCACAAAACCCCACATAACAGTAATATTAATAAACAAAAAGAGTAGCTTGCAATTACAAAGTACAGTATGTTCCTCAGAGAACAAAATGACAGAGTTCCCCTGCAAACTTTATTGAAACGTGAATACATTGGAAAAAAATGAAAAATTGCTATTTTCTTACTGCAATTATTAGATTTTTTCATAAATATATTGTGCACATATTTTGCTAGCATGCTTTGATTTTAGCTCAAATTAATTGGATTTCATTTACTAATGCAGAGCCTCTCATGCTTAATGACAGCTCTCATAATTAGGGCTTATTGCATTTCTAACAGTCATTGAGCATCTGTCAGTGATATTTAATTCCATACAGAGCTGGGGTGCTGCCGTTCTATAGAAGATTGTGCCTTAAAAGGAAGATCAATAGATACATTTAAAGATTTGTGTATCTCTGCCTGTAAATATCAAGGTGACTAGCTAATAATACCTCACAGTTAATTATCAGAAAGATGATTCATAGGATGGAATGTCAAGTGAATTTTTAACTAAATATTATATTACTATAAGTATCTTTACCTATAATTGTATGCAGTTATCTAGTAATGGCATTGCACACTTTCAAATGTTTTGTTGTTTTAACTAGGTTTTGGTGTAGTTATATATTTCCTGCGTTGTTTGCCTTACTTTTAAATGATGGGCTCACATTTGTGGCTGCCGTTTGCCGTGTCATGACTGATCGGCTCTGCTATGTCTATGTACTTATTCACCTAGCTTGTCTCTATTAGCTAAAGAACCTACTCACTAAACTTTGCTTCCACGTCAAACTCCATGCCTCCACATTTCCAATGTGTTGCATCACAAATGTGGGAGTGCAAATGCACTGCAAGACTGCATGGTGATCCTTCTGTAAATTGTGTTGCCTGCTTGATCTGTGTCAGATCTAATTACTGTTTAGCTCTCACCTGAAGAATACTAGTCTCAGAGAACCAGGGATTGTGGGATATGTAATTTCCTCACAGGAAATGTCAATTCTTACACTACAGAGGTCATGCATTGACCTGTGTAGTGACATGCCACATGCCTCATGTTTGAACACAAACACAGACTTCTGATGTTGGAATGTAAAGATTTACTCTATTATAAGCTGCGCGTTCAGAGCAACAAATGACACAATGGCCTTACTAGGCCATGTAGGCCCTACTACATGGTCAATGCACATCCTATGCAAGTAAAAAACACAAGGTGCATGCAAGAAAGTTTCTAATGAATGCCTTTAACCATTTCCCGACTGGCCCATGTATATAAACGGCCAGACGGGAGCATTGTAAGTGGCCATTTATAAACGTCCTCCCCACTTCCCTGCCTGTGCGTGCTCCCAGCACCGTGATCTGGTGCTCGCTGAGTCCTCCGGACACAGCAAAACACTGATCTCTGTACGGGACCTCTGTGTGAGGTCCCAATCATGTGATCACTGACTGGCCAATCAGTGATCACATGAATAGTAGTAAGCAAGATGTCACTCTGGCGCCCCCGTACTCCATCCGCCGCCATCCGCCACCATCCGGACCCCTGAGCTGCCGGCGGAGCTCTGGCGGGTTGAAGCCTACTATGGCCTACCGCGGCTCCCGAAGCCGTGGTGTTTCCTGCCAGCCACGGCCAGGATCGCGGCCGCGACGGGACGACTCCCCTAGGACAGGGGAAGCTGCCACCGCCTCTACCGGTCCTGCCGACATCCAGGAGGACTTCTGAGCCGCGACGAACCGGGACACCGCCGCCCAGCCACCATCACACTGCTAGCCACCAGGTACACTATCAGGGGCACCTACTACCCACCAGGGAGCCCAGCCGCCATCACACCGCTAGCCACCAGGGACACTAACAGGGGCACCTACTACCCACCAGGGACTACAAACCACCACCAGGGACCACAGGCCACTATCCTCCCAGGGATCGCAAGCCCACCATCCCACCAGGGATCGCAAGCCCACCACCCCACCAGGGATCGCAAGCCCACCACCCCACCAGGGATCGTAAGCCCACCACCCCACCAGGGATCGCAAGCCCACCATCCCGCCAGGGATCGCAAGGCCACCATCCTGCCAGGGACCGCAAGCACACCATCCCGCCATTGATCGCAAGCCCACCATCCCGCCAGGGATCGCCAGCCACCATCCCGTCAGGGATCGCCAGCCCACCATCCCACCAGGGACCACAAGCCCACCATCCCACCAGGGATCGCAAACCCACCATCCTGTCAGGGATCGCAAACCCACCATCCCGCCAGGGATTGCCAGCCACCATCCCGCCAGGGATCACCAGACGCTGTGCTCTACATCAACTCCAGACGCCGTGCCCTACATCAGCTCCAGACGCCATGACTTGCTTCATCTCCAGACGCCGTGCCCTGCATCATCCCCAGACGCCGTGCTCTGCATCATCCCCAGACGCCGTGCCCTGCATCATCCCCAGACGCTGTGCCCTGCATCATCCCCCAGACGCCATGCCACAGCACCCACGGCCGCCGGTCTACAGCACCCACAGACTGCAACTTGCCAGCTGCTGACCCAGCCGCCCACACACTCTCACTCTCCTCCTATAGATGAACTCTGCCACGACGTGACAGACTCTCCGCATCATCACGCCCTGATATGAAATCTCTCACCTCCCCGATCTGACCAGCACTCTGCTCACCCTAACATGCTACCTGCACTCCTCCTCCTTGTATTCCTCTCCTCCATTCCCAAAATTGCCTCCCCCTACCCCCCTACTCCCCCAAAACAGCTCTACATTGCTCCTTCACTTCTTCCTTCTCCCCACTACGGCTCTCACCACCGCCTCCTAATACTCCACTCTCCCGCCGACCCTCACGCCACCACTAACAGATCCACTTGCTCCTGCACATCCCGTTCCCATGCCACCTTCCTCACCCTTCTCCTTCTCCTAACAGCCGGTGACATCTCCCCGAACCCTGGCCCCCCACCTCCCCACTCCCCCTCTAGGCACCCTCCTGCTCCTGCCAGCTGCCGCAACCCCCTCAACCTCATAACCGTCCCCCTCCTCCCCGCATCCACCCCTCCTCTCTCGGTTGCACTCCTGAACGCCTGCTCGGTTTGCAACAAGCTCACCGCCATCCATGACCTCTTTGTCTCCCACTCCCCCAACCTCCTAGCGCTCACCAAAACCTGGATCCAAGCCACTGACTCCACCTCCCCTGCAGCACTCACCTATGGAGGCCTCGTCTGTACCCACTCACCTAGACCGAGTGGTCGCAGAGGCGGCGGGGTTGGCATGCTCCTGTCACCGCTGAACACCTTCCAGGTCCTCCCTAACCCCCCCTCCCTATCCTTCTCCTCCTTTGAGGCCCACTGCATCCGGCTCTTCTCTCCCACCCCCCTGAGGATTGGAGTAATCTATCGGCCTCCTGGATCCATATCCCTCTTCCTGGACGACTTTGCTGCCTGGCTTCCCTTCTTCCTCTCCTCTGAGCTAGCGACCATCATCCTCGGGGATTTCAACATCCCCATCAACGTCAACAACCCAGCTACTTCCCAACTCCTCCTCCTAACCTCCTCTTTCGCGCTCACACAGTGCACACAGTCCTCCACCCACACTGATGGGAACACCCTGGACCTCGTTTTTCTCCCACCTCTGCACCCTCCACAACTTCACTAACACCCCCTTCCCCCTCTCTGACCACCATCTCCTCACGTTTTCCATCTCCCCCTCCTCTAACTCCCCCCCCAAAGCGTCAAACCATCACCAGCCGTAACCTCTGCAACCTGAACCCGGCCCATCTCCACCCGGCAGCTGACCGTCTGTACGACAGTATCCTTCCACTGTCATGCCCTGACCTGGCCAGCACTGCCTACAACGACTCACTGTCAGCTACCCTAGACTCCCTGGCACCCCTAACCATGAGTAACATCAGAATGTCTGAAACGACGCAGTCGCGCGCTGGAGCGATCATGGTGCAAAACCAGATCCCCTCGAGCTTTCTTCCTCTACAAATCCACCTTCCTCACCTATACCACCTCCCTCCATGCCGCCAAACAAGCCTATTTCGTAACCCTCATCAACACCTTCTCCACCTGTCCTCGCCGGCTCTTCTCCACTTTCAAATCCCTGCTCTCCCCCTCACCTCCACTCAGCACCTCACTCACCGCCCACGAGATTGCCAATCATTTCCAAAACAAGATTGACGCAATCTGTAAGGACATTGTCAATTCACAATCCACCTCTCCACCTAGCCTCCCTCCATCACTCCCTCTACTCTCCCCTCCTCTGACCTCGCAGTCGCACTGCCCCCCACCATACCTAACGCCCCGCACATTACCACCTCCCCAACGCTCCGCTCCCTCAGACCTGCTACCACTGAGGAGGTCACTAAGGTCTTCACTGAAGCCCGCCTCACCACTTGCCCCCTGGACCCTATCCCCTCACAACTCCTCCAGTTACCCCCCTCCTCCATCATTCGCTCCCTCACCCACATCTTCAATCTCTCCCTCTCTACTGGCGCATTCCCCTCCCCCCTAAAGCACGCACACATCACCCCCATACTCAAAAAACCCTCCCTTGAACCCACTGACCTAAACAACTTTAGACCCATTTTCCCTGCTGCCATTCACTTCCAAGCTCCTTGAGCGCTTAGCCTACAACCGCCTAAGCGCCCACCTCACTGACAACAACCTCCTTGACCCACTACAATCTGGCTTCCGTCCCCTACACTCCACCGAAACCGCCCTAATTAAAATCACTAACGACCTGCTAACCGCCAAAGCTAATGGCCACAACTCAGTCCTCCTGCTCCTCAACCTCTCCACGGCCTTCGACACAGTCGACCACCCCCTCCTCCTTACTAAATTGCACTCCTTTGACGTCAGGGACGCTGCTCTCTCCTGGTTCTCCTCCTACCTATCCCAACGCTCCTTCAGCGTCACCTACAACGCTGCCACCTCCCCTCTCTCTCCCCCCTCTCTGTTGGAGTCCCCCAAGGCTCTGTCCTCGGACCCCTCCTTTTCTCCATCTACACCTCCTCCCTTGGCAAACTGATACGCTCCCATGGCTTCAACTATCACCTCTATGCCGATGACACACAAATTCACCTCTACACCCCTCACCTCACCCCCTCACTCTCCGCCCGCATCGCCCACCTCCTGAATGACATATCAGACTGGATGTCGCTCCATTTCCTCAAGTTAAACCTGTCCAAAACCGAGCTCCTAGTTTTCCCCCCAGCCTGTGCCCCTCCCCCCATCCTCTCCATCACGACTAGCAATGCCACCATCAATCCCACCCCACACGCCAAAGTCCTGGGTGTCACCATGGACTCAAACCTTTCCTTCCAACCTCATGTCCAATCACTATCAAAGTCATGCAGGCTGCACCTTCGCAACATCTCCAAGATACGCACGTTCCTCACCCCAGACACTACTAAACAACTCGTACACTCCCTCATTATCTCACACCTGGACTACTGCAACTCCCTTCTCACTGGCCTACCCAAACAAATGCTATCCCCACTCCAGTCTATCCTGAACTCAGCGGCTAGACTCATCCACCTCACCAACCACTCCACATCTGCCACCCCCCTCTGCCAATCCCTTCACTGGCTCCCCGATTGCCTAACGCATTAAATACAAATTACTAATTCTGACATACAAAGCCATTCACAACGCTGCCCCAAACTACCTAACTGACCTGATACCCAAATACTACCCTACCCGTGCCCTTCGCTCCTCACAGGACCTCCTACTCTCCAGCTCCCTGGTCTCCTCCTCCCACACCCGACTGCAGGACTTCTCAAGGACTTCCCCCATCCTCTGGAACTCCCTACCCCAATCCATCAGACTGTCACCTACCCTCCTCACCTTCAGGCGCACCCTAAAAACCCATCTCTTCAGGGAAGCCTACCCCACCCTCACCTAACAACCGATCTCCTCCACTCCTCCTACCACTCCATCCCCCACAGCCACTTTCTCCTGTACCACTATCCCCTCCCTCCTAGATTGTAAGCTTGAAAGAGCAGGGCCCTCGAACCCCTCGTGTATTGTATTGTACTGTATTGTCTCATGTTCTGTCCCCCTCACTAATGTACAGCGCTGAGCACACCCTTCGGCACTATATAAATACTGTATAATAATAATAATACTACTAGTGAAATTTGTGAATGATCACAGAGGTCACATGGTACAAGGCTATTCACAACAGCCTGGTACCATGTAACAAGCTGTGACCAATCACAGCTTGCACAGTATTTCTCAATGGCTGCAAAATGCAGCCAGAGAGGAGAAATGATTGCTTTTACAGCCTTTATGGGTCTAAAAGCAATCAGTGTAAAAAAATAAAAATAAATCTTCAACACCCCCCACAAGTAGTACAGTGTCACTATGGTGACACTGTATTACTAGGGTGACAGTATGTTAAAAAAAAACATAAATAATAATATAAAAAAACAAAAATAAAAATGTTAAAAAATGTTTAAAAAATTATAATTTATGGTTAGAAACTAATTTGGGTTATTTTTTTTTTTACTAAAAAAGATAGATGAATACATTTTGGCCAAGATTTACGAAGAAAGATTATTTATTTGCAAAATTTTATAAGAAAAACACTTTTTTTTTTTTTTCAAAATGTTTGAACATTTTCATTTATATAGCATAAAAAATAAAAATCCCAGTGGTGATTAAATACCACCAAAATAAAGTTTTATCTGTCTCAAAAAAATGCTAAAAAATTCATATGGGTACAGTGTTGCATGACCGCGCAATTGTTATTCAAAGTGTGATAGCACTGAAAACTGAAAATTGGCCTGGACAGGAAGTGGTTAAACATTTCTTGAATTGAAAAATAAAAATGCCCCTTTGTGCATGTCACAGAATATGTTGGGGTGGTGTTTTAAAATGGAATATGACTGTACATGCAGCTTACAATAAGTTAAACCCTTTTGAAGTGCAAAAATAAAACCAAAATTGATCTTACACCATATCTTTAACCTCTTCACGCCGGCCGAACACGGCCCCACATTTGCGTTCTGTTAAAAAAAATACATATGTGTTGAGAGCGTGCGCCCTGCGTGCTCCCAGCACACATGTCTGGTTCTCACGGAAAGGTCCCGATCTCCTCTTTCGTTCGGGACCTTTCCCGATCATGTAACTGTCGTGACGGTGTGTCACAGCGGTCACATGGCCCTAAACCCCGCCCCACCTCCCGGCTTCTGAAACCCTTAACCATTTGCCCTCCTGAGGATTTACCCCCCTTAATGACCAGGCCTCTTTTTGCTACTCGGCGCTGAACTAATTCAACTGAAACTGAAATTCAAACGAAATTTATGTCCTTTTTTTCACACAAATAGAGCTTTCTTTCGGTGGTATTTGATCACCTGTGCGCTTTTTATTTTTCACGCTATAAACAAAAAAAAAACAAACATTTTGAAGAAAAACAATATTTTTTACTTTCAGCTATAAAAAATATATAGTAAACTCAAAGTTAGTTATAAATTTAGGCCAAAATTTATTCTGCTACATGTTTTTGGTAAAAAAAAAATCCCAATACGTGTATATTGATTGCTTTGTGTGAAACTTATAGCGTCTACAAACTATGGTATAGATACTGCAATTTCCGCCATTTTTTTGCTATACAGTGCTGCGCTAGTTTAACGGACAATTGTGCAATCATGCAATATGGTACATAAATGAAATTTATGTCCTTTTTTTTCACACAAATTGAGCTTTCTTTCGGTGGTATTTGATTGCCTGTGCGTTTTTCATTTTTCGTGCTATAAGAAAAAAAAGGATGACAATTTTGAGAAAAAAAAACAATATTTTGGACTTTTTGCTATAAAACATGTCCAGTAAAAAAATTTAAAAATCAAATTTCGTCATAAATTTTGGCCAAAATGTATTTTTCGACATGTCTTTGCTAAAAAAAACCCCAATACATGTAAATTAATTGGTTTACGTGAAAGTTATAGCGTTTACAAATGGCGGTAAAGATACTGGGATTTTTACTTTTTTTTATACTAATAATGGCGGCGATCAGCGACTTATGGCGGCGATCAGCAACTTATGGCAGGACTGCGGAACTGCGGCGGACATTCTGACACTGGGGGGAACTGAGTTGGGGTCACTGACATCCCCAGTGACACCAATACAGTGATCAGTGCAAAAAAAAAAACACTGACACTGTACTAATGGCACTGGAGAGGAAGGGGTTAACTTTCTTATTTACTGAAAGGGTTAACTGTGTGAGGGGAGTGTTTTACTAGGGGGGGGGGGGTGTACTGCACGGGGACAGCTGATCGGGAGAGATAAACTCTTCTCTCCGGCTCAGCATGTCAGGAGCTGACAGGGAACTAACAGAAAGCAGAGCTACTGCAGCTCTGCTCTCTGTCAGTGATTGCCGCTAATCGGCGGGACACAGCTGGTAACGACCAGCTGTGACCCGGCGACTGACATCCGAGGCCGTGATTGGTGGAACAGGTAGAGCGGGGGTGCACCTCGCGCGCGCCCCCTACCTGTTTTGCAAACACACATTTTAAAACGTGGTTTTGCCCAGTCGTGCCGCCCTGCCAACGTATTTCTACAGTGGCTGGGGGGCATGTGGTTAAAGGGCCGGGAGGCACCGGCGTGAAGGGGTTAAAATAACGGTGAAAAAGAATTATGGTCCTTTCACATAGCCATGTCCACTCTGTTCGTAAACAGAACAAATTGAAGCTGAATGGGATGGATGTCACTTTTATGATACCTGTGCTCATCCGTTTTTTTTCTCCACATTTTAGCAGTGGACCTGTGATTGCTCTATGGACAGCAGGATGCAAACAGACTCAGACTATCTTCAGGCTATCATGTTTAAGTCTGGAAAAATGGAAAAGAATGCAGTCTATTTCCATTGTTTTTCCAGACCTGGCTAGGCACATACAGTGGATATAAAAAGTCTACACACACCCCTGTTAAAATGTCAGGTTTCTGTGATGTAAAAAAAAATGGCACAAATATAAATCATTTCATAACTTTTACCACCTTTAATGTAACCTATAAACTGTACAACTCAGTTGAACAACAAACTGAAATATTTTAGGTGGAGGGAAGTAAAAATAAAAACTAAAATAATATGGTTGCATAAGTGTGCACACCCTTAAACTAATACTTTGTTGAAGCACCTTTTGATTTTATTACTGGTCTTCTTTGCAAAAACACTCCAAATCTGTCAGATTGCGAGGGCATCTCCTGTGCACAGCCCTCTTCAGATCACACCACCGATTTTCAATCAGATGGCTCTGGCTGGGCCATTCCAAAACTTTATTCTTCTTTTGGTGAAGCCATTCCTTTGTTGATTTGGATGTATGCTTTGGGTCGGTATCATGCTGAAAGATGACGTTCCTCTTCACATTCAGCTTTCTAGCAGAAGCCTGAAGGTTTTGTGCCAATATTGACTTGTATTTGGAACTGTTCATGGAACTTCACCAAAAGAAGAAACTTTATTCTTCTTTTGGTGAAGCCATTCCTTTGTTGATTTGGATGTATGCTTTGGGTCGGTATCATGCTGAAAGATGAAGTTCCTCTTCACATTCAGCTTTCTAGCAGAAGCCTGAAGGTTTTGTGCCAATATTGACTTGTATTTGGAACTGTCCATAAATCCCTCTACCTTGACTAATGCCCCTGTTCCAGCTAAAGAAAAACAGCCCCAAAGCATGATGCTGCCACCACCATGCTTCACTGTGTGTATGGTGTTCTTTTTGGTGATGTGCAGTGTTTTTTTTGCACCAAACATATCTTTTGCAATTATGGCCAAAAAGTTCAACCTTGGTTTCATCCTACATGCTTTTTGGAGAATTTAGATGTGTTTGTGCAAAATTTAGCCGGGCTTGGATGTTTTTCTTCAGGCTACTCCATAGGCCAGACATATGAATAATACGGTAGATTGTTGTCACATGTACCACACAGCCAGTATTTACCAGATATTCCTGTAGCTCCTTTAATGTTGCTGTAGGCCTCTTTTCAGTCCAGACCAGTTTTCTTCTTGTGTTTTCATCAATTTTGGAGGGACGTCCAGTTCTTGGTAATGTCACTGTTGCGCCATATTTTCTCAACTTGATGATGACTGCCTTCACTGTGTTCCATGGTATATCTAATGCCTTGGAAAAATGTTGTACCCTTCTCCTGACTGTTACCTTTTAACATGTGGACCATGGCTTTTGCATGGCTGTGGGATGCGACTAAGAAAATGTCAAGAAAGACCTACTAGAACAGCTGAACTTTATCTGGGGTTAATTAGAGGCACTTTAAATGATGGCAGGTGTGCACTGACTCCTATTTAACATGGTTTTGAATGTGATTGCTTAATTCTGAACACAGCTACATCGCCAGTTATAAGAGGGTGTGCACACTTATGCAACCACGTTATTTTATTTTTTTATGTTTACTCCCCCCCCCCCTAAAAAATTCAGTTTGTTTTTCAATTGAGTTGTACAGTTTATAGGTCACATTAAAGGTGGAAAATGTACATCACAGAAACCTGATATTTTAACAGGGGTGTGTAGACTTTTTATATCCACTGTATTACAGGACACAGGTCCGTTTAATTCCACCTGCCTATAGACTTACATTGAGCTTCCGATCTGGTCCATCCGCAAAAGCAACAAGTAGACCTAGTCAGAAAATCTGTGTGAAAGGGGCTTTATATTTAATCAGATATCATTGGGGATAACTTTGAAAAGCACCATGGAAGGAATAACCACGGAGTCAGGGGCATTTCCGAAATTATCTATGTGGCTCAATTCAGAGAGATTATAACCATACAATTTCAACAATGTTCTCAATAGAGAAGAAAAAAAAACATTATGTCAGAGCATCAGCCCCCAGATGTTAAAGCTTTGTAAAAATTGGCCAATGGCAGGACACTTTTATGCAAGGAGAAAAGGCCGAATGTGTGTATCAATTTTTATTATGCTGATGGGGGTGTATGGTCAATGTGTGACAGAGTGATATAATGTGCAGAGGATTAGGCACACACTCCTTTTGCACTTAGTTTTTTATTTCAAACAAGGCACTGGTGGGCTGTGAACAAAAGACAGATGGTTATCAAGAAGTGAATGCTGCAGGATGAGCCACCAAACATAAAATGTAGGCCCTATCAACATAAAATAAAAACCAATGCACACTCAGAAGGATTATTATTATTGCGGCTATAATTGCAGGGAGTAATCAAGGGCTTAAAATCCAACATGCTGGTTGTACCCAAGTTGATTGATGGATCGACTTGGGTACAGTCAGCCTGCCCATAGATAGATTGAATCTCGAC